TCATGTCTACCTGTTCCATGGAGAAGTCTGAGTTGTATGGCCAACCAGAATGACCATCTTATCCACCATATGATTATGCCTGGAGAGATTTTAAAGACATGTAGATGTGGTACTTGGGGACATGGGTTAGTGGAGGGCTTGGTAGTGCTGGGGGAAGGGTTGGACTTGAGAATCTTAAAAAGGTCTTTTCCAACCTAAAAGATTTTGTGATTTTTAAATTCTATCAGTGGCAACTGAGGGAGGGGCTGACTGACTGGCATGACAAATGCCCCAGGACCAAGGTGAGACTCTTGTGGTTGTGTCAAAATAAAGAAGGTGGTTTCTAATCAGCACATTACAAGGACAACTTTGTTCCAAGGCTAGAACTGTGAGAACAATCAGTTTTTAGATCCAAATGATACTATAAGGTTTTAATTTAACTCCAAAATAACTGTTTTTTGTGGACACTTAATATCATTCAGTATCTACAGTATAAGAATCAGTGACCTTTTAATGCCCTTATAAATAAATATAAAACATATATTTGAGGAACAGAAAGGTGTGTTCTTTTCTAAAACTCCATTCTTATCCATTTTTAAAGGAAATACAACAACCACGAGCTAAACACCTCTCCACTGTGGTTCTGAAAACCTGGCCACTGCAGTGGTATCCAAATAGCAGAAACTCTCTCTGCTGTACATCCAGCATGTAAAGTCTTTCTCAGGATATTACTAGAGGGAAAAAAGTAGTTGCCAAGTCAGTTTTGTTCCAGTTCATTAGTGACCGAAAGTCATTATCGTCTGACAGATACACTAAGGGTTATGTATAGTTCCTAGTTGTCTCAGTCCAGTTTTTAGTGGACAGATGTCCACACTCAGAAAAGACAAAACAAGTCTGACAACAGAGCAACTCGGCTGAAAATCTTCACCAAGAACGTGGGCCCTGGCTGAACATCTGAACTGATCAGTCCTCTTGAGTATCGTGGTAGTCCCAGGGGCAGAAAATAGATGGTGTACAAGGAGTCAATGTCATTCTCTGGAAGATGGTATATAGTTCTTGGTAGGATTGAGAGGTTACATATTTCTCTGTGGCTATCAATCGAATATGAACTGCAAGTGATAGTTCTGCTTCAAAACAAGAAAAATAGCTCCATTCCCTCCAAAGAGAATTGTGTCAGTAGCAGACCTCTCTATTGCTCCCACTGTTTTTTCGATGCTTCACCTCACCAGACTTCTGGGACCTGACAAACTATCAGACTGAAAACCAGAAAGGGATGGGGGAGATTTTAACACATGAGCAAAGCAATGAAAAATGTCAGTCTCCTGCTTGATACATGTTTTCCAACGACAAGAATGGCATGATATTAGCAAATAACTAAATCTAGGTGTTGCTAACCAGTTACCGATAGTCTTCATGAGAAAAAAATAGATTCCTCTTTGTATACTTTGCTCTTAAAGACAATGTAAATGCTCACATGTACTGAGTTAAATTGGTGTTTCAAGATCAGACACTCAGGTAAATGTTAGGTCATTACAGAACACATGGTTGGGCTGTGCTGTGGTAGAAAGCCTGAGCCTGTCCCACTGCCAGAAAGCAGGGAAGACTTGTGGGGCAGCCAGGTCAGGTCCAGACCTGGGCATCAGGGATCTCCATGGGGATGGGTCATTAGTGCAGGAGCGGGAATTGGCTCAGTGGAGTCCATACCTGAACCAGGTAGGGCTGGGGTAGAGCACGAGACTGATTTCTATGGCCCTGCCGGGACACAGAACTTGAAGTGGGGTCCTGGGCCATAAGCAGGTGGCCAAGGCCTATTAGTCCCTCACATTGCTTTCAATTTCACCCAAAGTACAGAAGGGACAGATGCCCCTTCTCCTGCTGGTATGATGAAGGTCAGAATTTGCTTCACAATGCACTTGGAGCATCATCACTCTTGACACTCTGGTTCACTTCCAGAACTTGTTCTTGCTGTCACATGTATGCAGTTGCCTCTACAGTGTTCATGCTAGTTCACTTCCAGACTTCCTTTTGGAATATAATAATTAGTCTCCTTAAGGAAGAAACCCAAGTAGAGTTTCCAGGAGAGTTTGCTTATGGAAGTGCTACAGATCAGCAACAGGAGAACAGATGCACCTTGTTTGACACCCAACAGTCAGGATAATTCTGCCCTGCTTCAGTGGGCCAGAAACAGAAACACTCAAACACCAGAAAGTGCCCTCATGCCAAGCCCTAGATGTGATGCTCTAAAGAACTTCCTGTAGGCAGCCAAACAACCCTTATATCATAAAATCACAGAATCACAGAATGGTTTGGGTTGGCAGGGATGTTAAAGGTCACCTTGTTCTAACACCCTGCCATGCACAGGACCTTCTACTAAATCAGGTTGCTCCAAACCACATCCAGATTGGCTTTGAATGCTTCCAAGCATGGGACATCCACAACTTTTCTGGACAACTTGTGCTAGGACCTCACACAATGTCTGACACTACATCAGCCACTTTGAGCTGGAAAACACACATATAAGCAATCATGTCTTTTGGGTACAGGAGTGGTCACTGAAGCTTAGAGAAGAGACAGACCAAATATTATTGCTGTTGGGATGTGGACGGACCAGTCTGCAGGGGCCAAGTCAAGAAAGGGCAGGTGTGACTCATGCAAACTATTTGACTCAAGGGCAACAGCCCACGGTGGCTGTTTTCATCAGTACAGACGATGCCATAAATGCTGAGTGCCCTGAAGGACAGACAGAAGTAGCAGTAGCTCTGTACCAAAGGGCCCCATTCAGCTTTCCTGCGGTGTAGGTTTGTGGCACTGCTCTTGCTCAGACACTGCTCCTGCTCAGACACTGCTCCTGCTCAGACACTGCTCCTGCTCAGACACCCGTCACCTCCAGCAGGTTCTGTGTCAGCAGCGTAGGCGACGGCTCCCAGACATGTACAGTATGTTCATCACTGCCTTTTCCAAGTGCCTCAGTATCCTTCAGGTGAAAAATACTCTTTCTATCTGCGTCTATGGCAGTACCTGAGAACCTATAACTGTAAGGTTATTCATATGAGACAGTGGTATAAAGTGACATTTCTGATTGAAATAGCACCTTTCCTCAATTTTATTGTCAAAAATGTCTTTCTAAACATTTTTCTCTTCTTTTCTTTCACCTAATTTACCTATCTAGTAAGGCACACTGGAATCTGAAAAAGTTAGAAATAAACCACTTCAAAAAACTTTTTTTAATGCTGACTTTTGTAATTTTTTTTCCTTAGTTTTTTTTTTTTTTCTCTGAAAAATAAACAAAAGTTCAACAATTAACTACAAATGTCTGTACTGGAGAGACAGACTGTGAGACTGTTTAACTGATACTACTCATTCGATTATTTGAAAAAGAATCTAATTTTTCCTGAGAAAAAATAATGCCAAAATAGGAACATGCATACTATGGTACTCAACTGTTTGTGTACATGCAGAGATAGCTTTAAAGCCGTGAGATGGATTTGTCTTTTAAATTTTTACAGTTTTATGTTCTTCTTTTTCTCCACATCCAGGAAGAACAATATGCTTATCTATTTTTGTTACGGAAGGCAGAGATTTTACATAAAAAAATGGGCAGAAACAAAACTAACAAGCAAACGGAAATCAACAAAAAGTATGAGGCAGGCAATAAATGAATGGCAGCTGCCGGGGCTGTTGAAACTGCAAATGTGATCAAAAAGTGACAAATTAAGATAGAAAAAGCTGGTTAAAAGATCACTTTTCGTGTGTAAAGGAATTTATTAATTTAATTATGTTTCAGTTATGTTTTGGTCTCATGACATGTACCAGTGAGGCAGTGCTAGAAAGCAAAGACTTCATTTTAGTGATATATGGTTCTGGGTCATGGTCTTCTCTAGTGTCCTAATTGTTTTGGAGAAAAAAGGAAGAAAAGACCACCTGGTCATAGAACCTGATGCATTCTGTACTTACATTTTACCATGTTTTCTGTTAAGTGGTGATTGCTGATCACCTACTACTGCTGACAGACGAGATTTCAGGGAAAAAACCATTAAAAAATGAGAAAAAAATCATCCCAAAGTCAGCATAGTGATAACATAATAATCACAATAAATTCAGTGATCAACCTGTCCTCTGGTGGCAGAAGGGCACAGTCATTTCTGCTTGGTGTCCTTCAGAGAGAAGAAGAAAAAATTCTTCCTTGTGAGGGGGTTGAGGCCCTGGCACAGGTTGCCCAGAGAAGCTTGTGGCTGCCTCATCCCTGGAAGTGCTCAAGGCCAGGTTGGACGGGGCTCGGATAGTGGAAGGTGTCCTGCCAGTGGCAGGGGTTGGAATGAGATGAGCTTTGAAGGTCCTTCTGACCCAAACCATTCTATGACTGTTTGAAGGAGGCCACGAGGATGGTGAGAAGAGCCTTCAGGGGAATCTGTGCGAGGAGTGGCTGAGGGCACTTGGTCTGTTCAGCCTGGAGAAGAATTGAGGGGAAACCTCATTGTGATCTTCAACATCCTCACGAGGGGAATCAGAGGGGCAGGTACTGATCTCTTCACTTTTATCACCAGTGGCAGGACTCGAGGGGACAGCATGAAGCTGAGATGGGAAAAGTTCGTGTTCGGTACCAGGAAAAGGTTTTTCACTGAGAGGGTGGATGTTTGCAGGAGCAGGCTCCCCAGGGCAGTGGTCACAGCACCAAGCCTGCCAGAGTTCAAGGAGCGTTTGGACAACGCTCTCAGGCACGTGGTGTGATTCTTGGGGTGCCCTGTGCAGGGGAAAGAGTAAGACTGCACGATCCTTGTGGATCCCTTCCAACTCAGCATATTCTTTGATTCTGTGAGGCTGCTAAATTGCTCTAACCCTCCCGGCCCGCAGACTGCACAGGAGCCCTCCGGCACCCCCCGCGCCCGCTCTCACCTCACCGCCCTTCTCGGAGGCTCCCCCCCTGTTGCGCGGGGGGCCGCGGGGGAGGGCGCGCCACGGCCCGGCGGCCATTTTGGTAAAGGGCCGGTGCCGCTCCTTCCTCCATTACTCAAGATGGCGGCGGCGGCGCATGCTCGGAGTGGGGAGCGGTGCTGCCCGCGGGTGCTGAGGGGGAGCGGCGGCCATGGGCGAGACCGAGAGGCTTTATTATGTGTACAGCTGCGACCTGGACAATCAACGTGGCAGCTCAAGATGTGAGTGAGCGCCGCCCGGCTCTGCGGGGGAGGCGGCCGCTGCCGCCGTGGGGGGAGCCCGGGCCGCCCGCACCTGGACGGGTGCGCTGCCCCGGAGTCCGGCAGGTGCCCGGCTGCGGGCAGTGCTGGCCCGGCCCCGTATCCCTCACGACACCCGGGGCTGCGGGTGCCGCTCTCCGGGGAGGAGACGGGACGGGGCGGGAGAGGGGCCGGGCTGGAGCAGGGCTGTGAACTCAGATACCTGTGTGCTCAGGTCCTCTGAGGTTGTCAGTGCAGTCTGGTAACTTTTCATCTGCCGGTGTCATAGAATCGCAGGATGGTTTGTGTTGGAAGGCACCTTAAAGCTCATCCAGTCCCACACTCCCCACCCCAACCTCCACCACCCCCCCCCCCCCCCCCCCGCTGCCCTGTGCAGGGACACCTTCCACTAGCCCAGATTGCTCCAGATCCCATCCAGCCTGCCCTTGGACACTGCCAGGGATGAGGCAGCCACAGCTTCTCTGGGCAACCTGTGCCAGGGTCTCACCACCCTCACAGAGAAGAATTTTTTCCTAATATCTCATCTAAACCTACTCTCTCTCTCAGTTTGAAGCCATTTCCCCTTGTCCTGTCACTCCAGGCCTTTGTGCACAGCCTTGCCCTGTCTCTCCTGTAAGTTCCTCTCACCTGCTGTAAGGCCACCACAGGCCACAGCTTGATCCTCAGTGATACGGGAAGGACACAAACTGGTGACACCCTTCCTGTTTCTTCCCATTCTCCCGTGAAAGCAAGATGCTCTTAGCCAGGTTTTTTATTGGAACGTCCAGGTGCTGCAGCACCTAAGTATGTTCCCAGCTGCATATATGGAAGGTCTTCCTCTGAAGCTGGAATTATCGTTCACTGGTGTATTTACCATTTTTTAAGTCACTTTTCTGCATCACAGCAATGGGATGTTGACAGTTGTGCAGGAGGGATGTAGCTGGCTCTAAAATGTAGTGTACCTGATGGTGATACATTAAAGTACATTACACTTTTCTGGCAGACTAACTTTGAGAAGGTTATTCCGGGTTATTTAACTTCTGAACAGGTGATAGTAGTGGAAGATGTCCCTGCTCATGGCAGGGGTTTGGAACAAGATGATCTTTAAGATCCTTTCCAGCCGAGCCTATCTGTGATACCTGAGTCAGATGTGTCCTCTTTGCTGTTTCATTCCACCAAACAAAATTAAATTAGCATTTTTAATTTTTTTTGCATTGGACTGTATGTCATCCTGGAATGTGCAGTGCTAGTTTCTTGCAGGTAACTTGTTCATCTGCTCTGAAGTGTTTTTGTGGTACAGATAGATTTCTGTTTGCTGGAAGGTTGATCTTATGTGTTTTCCTGTCACCACCACAACAATTCCTTCTTTGTTTTAACATGTGCATCCACTGTCAGTTGTTTAATGTGTTTGATTGTTTTCATCATGGTCTAGCTGAAGCCTAAGAAATTCTGTCTTAATAGTAACATTGTGCAAAGTGTTGCAAGTTTTTTTTGAACAGTCTGCTTAATTGAACTTTGTTTTGTTGTTGATTTGAGAGATGACTGACATACAAAGCTAGTCATACATTTCATAAATCTTAAAAATTAAGATTTACTTACCATTGCTGGTTTGGAGGTTTGTTTTTTCCAAACAGTATTTTGAGTCCATGTAATCTGATGTTTAGTTTGGTTTGTTGATAACAGCAGCATATGGCATCTCGTTGTTGCCCTGTTTAAGGTTCCTAATTTGAGAATCTGCAGGTTGTACTAGAAGAAGTTATCTCCATTGAAAAGGCAAACAAGTAATTCTTGCCCTGCTTTTCTCTCCCACCTCTAAATCAGAATAACAATGCGTTCTGTTCCTCTCTGGTATCTGGATTTCACTACCAGCAAATAATGCAAAGTGAGAATAGCCTTAGTAATGGGCAATCTAAATATGAGCTGTGGAACTACAATAGCATTTCTACTATGGATAAAACAAATTCTGGTTTATCTATGTTTTCTCTTTCTCTTTTTTCTCCTCTGTCCCTCCCGTAGAGGAAGTTTGGAAGGGAAAAGAGAACAGAAGAGTTACAAAGCTCTCTTGGAAGATCCGATGCTGAAGTTCTCAGGACTGTATCAAGATACCTGCTCTGACTTGTATGTAACTTGTCAGGTGTTTGCAGAGGGGAAACCTCTTGCTCTTCCAGTTAGAACTTCATACAAGGCTTTCAGCACTAGATGGAAGTAAGTGACTTGCCTTTTATTTCCTCTTAATTGCTGGGGCATCAAGTAGTAGTATGGATAGATATATATATGGGTTTTATTTCTGTCAGAAAGATTAGTTTTCTGTTGTCTTCTTCAAATGAGTTATGTTTTTTCAAGTGTCTGTATTGGTTAGTGTTACCCTGACAGCACAATACTAATATTTTGTTGAAATAGGTAAGTGATAAAATTGTTACTTTTGTTGTTACTTTGTTGTTTTTAAAATTGTTACCTGGGCATGTTTTACTGTCTAAGTGACTACTGAGGCCCGGACTAGCACATTTTCGTACTGTTTGCTGACAACCTTGTCACTTAGTCATCAAGCCAGACTATTTTTTTTGGTCTCTTGCCTTTTAGTCATGCTTAAGACAAGTATTTGAATGCTTAAAGCCTGCAGGAAAATAGTCCTTCTGCCCTTGGAAATTCATATTCTGAAGAGAATTTGGGTTGCGTAAACTAATACAGAGTAACTTGAATTCTAAAGCTTTATGACTAATAAAAAGTGTTTCTCTGCAGCTGGAATGAGTGGCTGAAGCTGCCTGTGAAGTATCCAGACTTGCCTCGCAATGCACAGGTGGCTCTGACCATCTGGGATGTGTATGGCCCTGGTAAAGCAGTTCCTGTGGGAGGAACAACAGTCTCGCTCTTTGGGAAATATGGGTAAACTGCTTTTTCTTCTGTGGTGCACTTTTGAAGCTTGCTTGTGAGTAATGAGGTAGCAGTGGTTATGAGAGAGACATTTTTAAATCTTTCCTAAACCAGGTTAACAATTACATGTTTCAAAAATCAGATGCATAGATTATTTACTCTATTACTTCCTGACTCTAATTTCATTCATGCTACAGTGTGGTATAAATGAACTCTTCTTCTGTGTAACACCAAAATTTAGGCTTTTTTTAAGATCTGCAGGTTTGGATTTAAAGGTAGCAAATGCTGAAATCACTTCATATCTATACTTTTGCAGCGCCTGGATGCCAGTACTGATTACTTAAAATAATTTATTTAGTTGGCTTGCAATTGGGCGGCTAATGTAGTGTTATTTATAGGGAATAAAACATCACTCAGTAAATCAGAGGTTTTCAAAGTTAATATTCTATGGTCCAATAGAGAGTACATCAAAAGGATCTTGACTGAGTGCAAAGGAGACTTAAAAAATAGGATGTTGTTTGAGGAAAATTATGAGGTGCTGGTACTTTTTCTGGTTTAGAGTGAATGTTAAATTTTCGATGGTTCAGCATTGTAGTGTTCCTGTAAAATGTGACATGAACAATTTACAAGTATATGCAACAGGGGATGCTGTTGTATCCTTCTTTTCCAATCCACTCAGCTGGGATATGTTCCCTTCTGTACAACTGACTTTAAGCAAGTTTCTGACTACTGGGAATCTGTATCATTGAGTGTTTAGCAAACAGGTGTGGGGGAGGAGGTGTAAAGACTAATGAGGCTGAAAAAAAGATTGGGAACCCTTTCCTAGTAAGTACATAATGTTGGAAAATGGGAAAAAATAATCTGTTTTAACCAGTGGATAAAAAATAAGATTAAACTGAAGTGAAGGAGAAGTTTGGATTAACATTAGGAAAGCTGTTCTAATGATGCTTGAATGCAGAAAGTGATTGTAGAGGGAGAGGTTGTATCTCTGTATTGAGGATACTACTTTGACAAAAATGATTGACATAGTCTTAGGGCAGAAAATTGTACTGGGTAAAATGGACTGTACCCCAAAGACTGCTGGTAGAGCACAGCACATGGAAAAAGGTAGAAGTAAAGTAAATTTATAAATCTTATTTGCAGCATGTTGGACCTTGGTAGTTGTATTCCACGAAGTGATGTGTAAATTTAAGGTCAGATGGTCCTTCTCATTGTTATTTCTCATTTTTAAGGGTTGACTTTTTAAGGTGTTCATTTCAGTTGTATTTACCTGAAGTTGTTAGAGTTAAGTGATCGACTATGGCAAAGGTAATGCACTTGATTTCTTGGAGCATCTTTTATAGGTGGATCAGCACAAATATGCAAGGGAAGCAGGGTTTTGCAGAGAGAAGACGTGGTCGATTACCCTACAAAGTTCTGTTCACTGCACACTTTCAATTATCAATTCAATTTCAAGCATAGATGGAGAAAATGGTGTGTGGAGGGTTGTGGCTTTTTTTTTTTCTTCGTGTGTTTTTTTTTATTTGGCAGCTCAGAAGGCTGCTTTATGTCAGTTGACCTTCAAATGAAACTTAGGTAGCTTTTTAGTTGATGTTTTTGGGGGTTTGGCAGACCTAAAGTTACTATTATGCACATCAAGAGAAATACTTTCTGGTTCATTACAAATAATAAAGCTATGAAGGTTGAGCTCTGTCCTCAGTTTGTGTTTGTACCACCCCCACTGACTTTGGGAATTACCCATTTATCTTCCACTTGCCAAATAAATTATCTCAGACTTAATATTTCTTCTAAACTCTATGTGCCAGTAAAATGAAGGCTGTAGGGGGCACAAGGTGCAAGTCACTTTTGCAGTAGAGTTCAGTTACGAACTTTTGTAGTTTTGGCAAAGCAAGCTGCTTCATTTTGTAGCAGCTGCTGATGTATTTTGATTCCTGACAGCTGCATTACTTTGAATTTACTGAAGTGATTCTGCATTTTCCCTGCAGGATGTTTCGACAAGGAATGCATGACTTGAAAGTGTGGCCCAACGTGGAAGCTGATGGCTCAGAGCCCACCAAAACTCCTGGGAGAACCAGCAGCACAGTCTCTGAAGATCAAATGAGCCGCTTAGCAAAGGTAATGGAATAGCAAGTAACTTTTAAAATGTATGTGACACACTTGCACTTCATCGGAGTGAAAGGAAGACAGGCTGCCCATTCTGTTTTCTCACGTGAAAGCTCCCTTCCTTTGGTTGTTTAGGTATTTCACAGGATTTATACGAAGGAGTAAACTAGATCATGCTCTGAAGTGTTTTTTGAAAGGGGACATACGAGTAACTTCTACTACACAGTGCATTCTGTTGCAACAGCTTAACATCCAAATTCCATCAGATTTAGTAAGAACATCTCCTACCAGTAACTTGTGAGGACAGTCTAGTTTCTTTCAGAAGCCGTCTTTCGGCTTTAAAGCTGTCTGATGCAGTGTTTACATGTGTGTGACATACCTCTACGTTAGAAAGAACTTGAATATATAAATACATATTCATTTCAACTCATGAATATGTATTTATATTAGTATTTTATTCTCCAAGCTTTTGATGACAGAGTATATTCTTGCCATCAAAACTACTGCTGCAATTGATCAGAAAATGTTAGTTATTGAAATGTTTTGCTAGCTGATCTCTTGATTATTCAGGTAAGATTACCCCAAACTTTGCAAACCACTCAATCCACTTACTCTCTGAGCTTTCTTCTTAGTCTTGGTCTCTTAGTTTTCATCCTCACCTTTGTACAATTTCCACTGAGAATAAGTCCAGTGCCATAAATGCATTCACTTTCTCATCTAGACATTTATCACAGCAATAAATTAACTTTCTTCTAGGGTCTGTCTTTTATTAGTTCACATAGAATTTATAATGGAAAACTTATTAAAGCCACTTGATCATAGTAGAATAAATCCCCTCTGGCCTACAGAATCTCTGTAGAGAGACACTGAATATCAGGGCTTGCTTACAGTTCATCAAATGGTTACATGATGTATGAAGTGGGTTTCTGAGAAAGGGTTTTACAGTGTAGGCCTTCCCTTTCATGTTAGTTCTGTTAAGCAAACCTTAACACTTTCTTATTTATACTCTCTAGCTCAAGAAGCACAAATAATGTGGACTATTTCGGTCTTAAAATAGCTGGTTCTGCTGTAACCTGTTCTTTTTCTCAAAGCCTCTGAACAATAGGAGGGAATTCTTCTTTCACATCCCATTTGAGAGTTGTAGTTAATGGCTAACAAAAAGCTGATAACATCACTGCCCCCATTCTTTTCTTCTGAAAGCTGTTTTGGGAGATACTAATTTCTGAAAGATGAGAGTATTCTCATGGGTATTTTGTTGTGGTCTTTTATAAAAACATTTTACCATCAGATGCCAATGAAATGAGTAGGGTCTTTGGGTGGTGTATCTGTGGGAGTTTTCATTTGCACAGCTGTTTACACTGCAGAGGAGGTTCTTGTGATGTGACATTCCTAAATAGCCATTGTTTGAGCACAATCAGCTTCAGTTTTTCTAGGACTTACTCATCAGTTGCTGAATGCCTCCTCATGCTATTCTGTGTAAAGGTAATTTAAACATAGGTAAGAGGAAAACAAGTAATTCTTGAGAAAAGCTTGTTGAAGGACCCTTTCTCCATCTAAAAGATAATTTTTTTCTGGACATGCTCTCAGTTCATGTCTGTATGTGGTATTTATTATTACAGGGAATTTTTATAAAATCAGCGACTGGCTGGTGAAGGAGTTGCATCCTTTTACCTTGAATAATGGGTACTATGGCAAGTCTCCCTTTTCATGTTGAGGTAGCATACCATTGTGCTCTTACAAAACACATGAATCTTGCTGGTAAAATTGCTACTGATGAAAAAACCATGGCTTGGCATCCTGGAGGCATTGTGAACGTAGATTTTTTGTGTACTAAGGAATATTAATGAGAAGAGTGTGGAGTACCTTACCATGCTCAAATATTAATGACATTAAGATATCCCTCCCATGAGTGGTGTGTTAATTTATTCTGCTTAAACTAAAACTACTCTTAAGTTCTTTTTGATCCATTCATTTCCCTCACACCTTCTGCTGGCTGAATGAAATTAGGTAATAATAATGTTGAGACACTATCTAAAGGGATGCCTCTTATTTAGTAGCAGATGATGAGTAGTTCTTTCCCTGAAGGGAATGCACTACCTTCTCTCTTATTTTAAGCTTTAAATATTAATCCAAGAGAACAGTTCTTCATGTGTACATATATGCCTACAGATCTCCTGGGTCTTGTATGCAGACCTAATTAATTGCAGTATTATGACTTTTTTCCTCTATAAGGGAGGCTTAGAGGTTTAAGATACTAATGATTTTCTTCTAAAACATACAAAGTTACTTTTTTTTCTTTATTCTCTAGTGCAGTGAACAAGAAAATGAACTAAGAATTTGTGACCAAGTTATCTAAATAACATTTTTTTCCCCAGGATTTGAATAAATGCTATCCTCAATCTTTGTGTCAATACTATATGCAAAAATGTGGTATTCTGAAAACTTTGATGCTTTGGTTTAAGATGGGGCTTAGAGGGGCTGCCTTGAATAAGTAAGTAAGAAAAATATTTTTCTTAGATAAAAAGAACAGTGGAGAGTAACTTAGAAGTGGATAGAGTGGTGGACATGGAAGGGTAAAGAATTTCTTCATTGCTGAGAGTGAGAAGACCTGTTCTGTGCACTGTATAGGACATTTTTGAATGCATTAAGTGATGATGTCCAGCCTGTCTGAAACAGCATTTTGGGTTATAACTGGTGTACTTGCTGCTGGTTCTCTGCTTTTGAAGTGTATTATGAAGTTGCATGTGAGGCAAAGGCCAAGTCCTGTATTATCCTTTTAGTACAATCCTGCCACATTCTGTCTCTGCAATATTGCTGAGATGAAATTTGATGAACTGGCTGCAGAATATAGCAAAAGATGGCAAAAAAATTATTACTGTGTTGTGCTTGTGTTTACATTACATTCGGCTAAGCTGAAAGAACCCAGAGACTGAATTTTTGTGCTTTGTTTACATCTAACATCCTGAAGTTTTATTAAGGATTAGACTTTACCATGCCCCCTGTCTTGTCCTCCCTTTTCTTTTTGTGCTGTTAAGTTTCTGAAGTTAGTGGAGTCTGAAGACGAGCTGTTCCAGTGTTTACTGGAGACAAACTAAATGAGAAAAGCCCCTACTATATAATCAATGGAGTTAATTCTTCGAAGTTGCAATGGTCTTCCAAACTTTGCATCAAAATGTAACTCCTTGTATGAAGGTGTGCTGTGGTCTAGAACGTAAAGAAATGCTAGGTGAATCAGCTGCTGCAAGTTAACAGTCTCGTAGTTGTTACTGGACTGTGTTTCTGTGTTTCATGGAACAGGTTCAGAACAAAGGGCATCAGATGCTCATGGCTAGTTTACTATTTTAGTGCCTCTTGAAATGGCCAATCCTGAGCAAATCTGGAAATCAGTTTAAAAAAATAAAAAAGGTAGAATTTTTCTCCCAGCTGAATAGCTTTTTAGTTGCTTTTTAAATTGTGGCTGCTTTTGATTAGTCCTTTACTTTAGTAGAGCCAAGAACTATAGTTGAGGATTAATATTCAGTGGAAAATTTTAAACCTCGTCTCTAGTAGACTTAGTAGGAACTAAGAATCAGAAAAGCTAAATTAGATGACGTGTTTGTGAAATGAATGATTGTTGGCATTCAGAGCTAATACCGTGCTTGCTTTCATTAGTAATCTGCCTTAAAATTTAATTCCAGTCTTGAGAGGGTGCAGAGGCCATGGTGTGGGCTGTAGCGTTTTCTGGCTCTTTCTAGCATAAACTTTTTCTAAGAAAACTAAAATTATTTGGGAGTTTCATTTCCTACTTAGAGGTAGGAACCAGTATCCAAAGTTTGCTAGACCCAAATTAAACCCTGGTGAGGAGTTGAATAAGAGGAAAAAGAACCCAAAGGACTTGTTTTAAATGTCGGGATGTCACTGGGGAAAGTGACCAAGCAAGATGGTCTGTTGTTTGATATGAAGGGGCAGTTGATAGGTGTGTGAAAAGACAAATCTGCTGTGTCTTGTTTTGCTCCTGGGTGGGTAGGTTGACCACAGAACAAAGCTAATGAAATAGTAGTTGTAATCTTTCCCTTAATAAGAACAATTCTGACAGGTCTCTTCACTAGCCATTTTCTAGACAGATACTGATTTCTTTAAGACATGAAGAAACTTAGTCTTCTAGTCCCTCTGCATCTCCTCTTGCATACCACAAGAATTACTGATTTTTTGAAGATTACTTGTGATTTCTGAGGAGCTGAAAAGATGATCTTATTCGTATTCATATGGTCTGCTGCTCAATGTCCTGTAAGCAATTACGTGATAGCACATCTGAAACTGCAGTTGGTATGTTTACATCTTATCTTCTCTTCCACTCTTAAGTAGTCCTTCAAACAAATCAACATCCTTACTAGTACTACAGCAATTTGTAGATGTAGGAGCAAAACCTGAACTACTTATCAGGTGACTAAAACAAAGAGAGAAGAAGCAGTCTATGACTTGCTCTAAGTCTTCAACTGACCCTTTGTGATCCCAGTCTGGAAACTTGTTTAGGTAAGGCTGACAAGGGCAGAATTATTCAATATGGATAGTTTTTGAAATAGCTTATATTTGTTTTGGCTTGGTAAGTTTTAGTGTATGAAACATAGTAACACAAAATATCTTTTTTATGTGACTTTACTTCAAAAATAGTTTCGATGTGTTAAAAATGCAAAGATGATGGATAATGGTGTTTGCTGTGACTGGTATTTTAGACTGTAGAATTATTTTATGGCATAGCTTAGCTGTTATCAAGGATTTGCTATGTGTACACTGTACAATGTTTTGTGGGTTTTTTTTCCAGTTCCCTTATTTTTTCTCTTGATTTCGTGTTAGTGTCTCTGTTACATTATAACTTTGGTATTCTTTTTCTTGCTCTAAGCAATTTAAATGTTATCATTGTGTTTTTTTCGTGCAGCTCACCAAGTCTCATCGGCAAGGTCACATGGTGAAAGTGGACTGGCTGGACAGACTGACCTTTAGAGAAATAGAAATGATCAATGAGGTAGGTCATTGAACATCAGATTTATAATTTTGGGGGGTTTTAACTTGCTAATATGGAACCTTCCTTTGCTTAGGAGACCAACTCTCAAGTACTTGTCCTGTTTTTCTTTAACTGCCACTGTCTATGATAAATAATTCTGTAAGCTTCCAAAGATGATTTTATTTCAGCAATAATAAGAATAATAGGATAGTTTGCGTTGGGAGGGACATTTAAAGGCCATCTAGTCCATCCCCCCTGCAGTGAGCAGGGACATCTTACACTAGATCAGGTTACTCTGGGCCTGCGCAGACTGGCCTCGAGTGTTTCTGGGGATGAGGTTTCTACCATCTCCCTGGGCAACCTGTGCCAGTGTCTCACCGCTCTCACAGTAAAGAACTTCACCTAATATCCAGTCTAACCCTGCCCTTTGTCAGGGCGAAGCCATTTGCCCTTGTCCTGTCACTTCATGCCTTGTCCAAAGTCCCTCTCTAACTCTCTTGGAGCCCCTTTAGGCTTTGGAAAGGGATCTAAGGTCTTCCCGGATCCTTTTCTTCTCCAGGCTGAACAACCCCAACTCTCAGCCTGTCTCCATAGCAGAGGTGCTTCAGCTCTCACAGCATCTTAATGGCCTCCTCTGGACTCACTCCAGCAGGTCCACATCTCTTTTGTACTGAGGTCCCAGAGCTGGACACAGCACTTCAGGTGGGGTCTCACCAGAGCAGAGGGCCAGAATTCCCCCCTCACCTTCTGCCCACGGTGTTTTGGGTGCAGCCAGCACACAGTTGGTTTCTGAGCAGCGAGCGCACGGTGCCGGGTCATGTCCGGCTTTTCGTCCACCAGAACAGACAAGTGTCTTAAGTGTTTTCAGCTTCAAGTAAACTAGATCACAGAAGACAGACTTTATTAATAAATTGGAACAGCTTGGAACAAACACTGTTGGGCATGACTAACTTAGCTCTAGGATTTAGGTTGTGATGGGAAGCTTTTTAGACATATGGTCTGGTCCTTGACTTTAGACCTGTCCAACTCTATTTTTTTAATTTTGGGTACTGAGGAAAGACATTTGTAAGATTTGAATGAATATTTAAAAAAATAGTAATCTTGTAGTTCAATATCTGAGTGAGATATTAACCCTGACTGAGCAAAATCACCTTCAAACTCTTTAACTCATTATATCCCTCTTGCACCACAGAACTCTGTTTTCTGCTTTGTGCTCTGAGATTTTTGTTGTCTAATTTATAATTAGACCTTTTGGAATCAGAATTTTTGTTTAACTGAAATTTGTGTTTTTATAAACTCTTATGAATGTTTTAGGGTTTTTTTTAGAAACAAGCCTATAATCTTTTTTATCCCCCTTTTTTTTTTGTTTTCCCCTCTTTACTTATTGCAAAAGTACAGAAAAATAAAAGCTACTAGTTCCTAGAGCACTACTTTAAATAGAGAACCACTTTGCCTATGCTAGAAAGTCAATCCATTATTAATACATTAAATGAACTGAAATTGCTCACTGTTGAAAGGGATGTGTGGGTTTTTTATTAAATATACATTCCTGGTGATGGTTATGTATAATAACTTCTTTCTTGTTTCCCATCTTGATTCTAAAATTCTAAGCACTTTTTCTAGGTAAAGCATCTAAAAAATGCATACATGAGCAAATCTTCCTCTGAAAGTGAATGAGCTGCAAATCTGATCTTGTAGTCCAGGCTCACTTGTCCTTTTTTATGGTGTTGTCTTAAAAAGTGATTTTTTTCATATTTTCTGTTTTTTGTCTTTGATGTGCATAATTGTATGTAATGGTTTGGGGAGGGGGGTAGCAAGCACCAACAACCTGGTGGTCACCTGGTTATTCTTTGTTGCATTTTTTCACACCTTTAGCCCACAGTTGGAAGGCTCTGATGAAAAAAGGTTTTTATCTGTTACATGTGGATGTTTATCATGAAGTGGGAATGTGAGGTAGTAAGAATGTCAGGAAAGAGGTGATATGGTCTCGAGTAGTGCTGTGAAATGATTAACTGAATAATTGCTGCAAAAACTGATAACCTAATTAATCAGTTGCAGCACAAAGGAAGTAGGGTAATTGCTGTACTGAGAATGCTGAAGATTGATGCCCTGCAATAAATGATACACATCTGTGGTGGTTCTTTTCTCAGAGGGAAAAGCGAAGTTCCAATTTTATGTACCTGATGATTGAATTCCGCTGCGTCAAGTGTGATGATAAAGAATATGGAATAGTTTACTACGAAAAGGTATGTGCCTTGCAGGCTTTATGGTCGTCCTTAAAAAGCAACATATGCACCTAAAACGGGGGGTTTTTCTGCTGAGGTGAAATATTCTGCTGCAGGATAGCAGCAGGCAGCTGTCAGTGGCAATTGTTTATGTACATACAAATCAAACAGTATAAATGCAACAGGATTGCAGAAGTCAGTCATTTGTGTAATAGAGTTCAAGATTACAGAATTTAACAAGTGTGAGTGATTAAAAAGTTTCTGATTTATAGTTCCTTCAGTCATCCAGCAGTACTTTCAGAGTAGCTGTATGT